TACTCCAATGATTCAACCTACAATCGACAACTCGAATATATTTTTCTGCAGTAGTGGTAGTGGATATCAAAAGATATTTCAATATCGATTTCGATTTCTCGGATATTTTGTTTGGATGATATGGCAACTGTAATAAGTGTCAGGAGAGTGTCAGTTTCAACCATATATCTACTATTTCTATATATGGCGCATCGCCTATACCATATCTCAACAAAAATGGGACCAAAATGAGAGGTACTCTTTGAATCTATGAGAACGAAAAGTGAAGGATGGAAACAGCCATATTGGTTTGACAAATTTCCTATTATTTTTTCCCTACGTCGGTATCAACGCCTATTGGTCGATTTCATTACCTATAGAGACAGAAATGGGTCCCGCTTTGAGGAGAGCTATGATTCATATATCAGTAGTAGATATATATGGTTTATATATATATATATATATGGCGAGATGGGGTTTCTACGTCATGAGAGGGTCTCCGTTTTCAGAAGGTACTATCATTTATGTCCAAAAATAAAACATTCCAGTTAATTTTTCGATCGAATGATGTCGTCAATCATTATTTATGTATAAAAGGATCATTATAAACATGGTTTGAGTTAAAAGTTCTACTAAGGTGTACACGCCCATTATAATCAAATTATCAAAAAGATGATAGAGTCCTGTCGTTGAATAAAACATAATAGGAGGAACCCATGATGTTTTAGTTCATTCTTGACTTTTTCGAGCAACCAGCATGTCCAAATGTTTCTTATTTCGCAGATTTTTCAAAATATCATGTGAATGTTGGAGACTTGGCAACGTTGTGCTGAATGCTGTGGACTGACAAGACCACGCCTATAAGTCGTGCGCCGTGGTTGTCACGTTCAACGATTTTAATCGTCCTCTAGTGTGAATTAATATAATTATTATTGACACAAATTTATTATAAGCAATAAGCCAGATAAGGGAGCATTTTGAGACAATTGAATTTTTATTGCTAATTAGGAATAATGCCAATACTCAATTGAGAATACATGAATTATTGAATAGCTTTTTTGTAATTCTAGAAGTAAGATAATAGCAATTAACGAATACAGACTTCAACAACAATAAGTGCTTACTATATTAATAATTATGTAACAATTATCTTGTGAGTCACGATCTCGAATCATGATTTACTCCACCAGCAAAAAACTCGCGGCCAGATAATAATTTTAACCAAATTAATCGCACTGTATCCTTCTCAATTTTTGTCCGATTCTGGTGAAATTCAGATCAAATAGATTTATGTTTCGGCGTATTCGCCTAAATTTTCATTCTCAAGAAAAGCTGATGACTTCATCCAAATACACGAAAAAATCAGAAGTCACTCTTTCCTCCTCAAATTCTTGACGCCCTGTGGCAAAAGTTAATGTTTAAAGATTGCTCCATCATGTTTTGAATTGAAGTGTGATCTCTTCCTATAAAAATGGTTTTTGATTAACGTCAATATTTCCTTTTTAAGGGAAGACAGAAGTATCCTAAGAAAGTATGGTCATTGATCATTGGTCTTCTTTCGGCCTTGTTAGTCGATCAACGAAAGGTTGTCGAATTTTCTACGGTTCTTAAAGAATTAGTGGATGGCTTTCTGGATGTGTTGACATTATTATTTGCTTCTATTTTTCTTGTTAGCTCTGTGTATCTGTGATTTCTGTGTCAAGCTGTCAATTGTCGAAAAAAAACTACTCTCTCTCTCTCTCTCGTTCAGTACTAAAATAGCATGTTTTATTTTTCAAAATTATAAAATACTGACCCCGCAAACAATGTTCTGCCATGTACATTATTTCTAGAAAATACTTTTTTAGTGGAATATTCATCAACACACTATTATAATTTTATTATCTACTTCTTTTTAGTTTTATATCTATGAAAACCACATTTGATCAGCCATCTTGAATTTCCTAATTTTGACGAAGAAATCATATTCTCCGACTCCGAAAACCTCCAGATACAAATTTTGAATGGAATCGAATCATATTGGATCCGCCATCGTGAATTTCCTAATTTTGACGAAGGAAACATAATCTCTGATCCCGAAAATCTCTACATATCAATTTTGAATCGTATCGGATTATAATTACAAAACTCTTTCGCCACATTGAACCCGACATCTTGAATTTGCAAATGTTCACGAAGGAATCATAATCTCAGGCCCCTAAAACCCCCAGATACCAATTTTGAATAGAATCGGACCATAATTACAAAGCTGGTCCGCCGTACTTGATCCGACATCTTGAATTTCCACATTTTTACGGAAAAATCATAATATCTCCAACCCTGAGAACTCCCAGATACCAATTTTAAATAGAATCGGATCATATTCACAAAATCGGCTATATTGGATCCGCCATCTACCGTCTACTGGTTCTAAGCTACCTCCCCACCAATTTTCAGCCTATCGGTCCACTAGTTTTAGTGCCTATTCAATACAAACAAACAAATCTTTCCTCTTTATTATATTAGTATGGATAGATCAATCACAAAAATAAAGAATAAATAAAATCACCAAGTGGATGGAATCTAAGAGAATCAGCGTATTTTAGGGTGCTAAACCTCATAAATGAGAACAGTATTCGAAAACTGGCCGTATCTGGTATCTGTGCATTGCAGATCATGAGATGCTGTTGAGGCGAGTGTTGAGGTAAATTAGTATACAGTGTGGAGACTTTAACTGGAAGAAATTCGTTAGAGGGCAGGTGCATATTTTTCTGGATATTCCCGACATACGTCAACGATTCGATGTATTTACCTACTTTTTTCGAGCAATATCGAGAATATAACCTTCCAGATGTAGCTGAAACCACCCTCAACATGATTTTTTCCAATGGTACCCTATGGCTTATGGCCCTGCATTGGAAAGCTGGTGGAAAGAGGAATCCAGTGTACATTTTCTTCGAAAACTCTACTTAGTAGAGAAAAAAATGTATGTATCGCCAAAGGCGCGATAAAAACGGTAAATGAGGTCTACAATCATCCCTAGATGCAATCCGGTGAGGTTAAGATTATCTTCAACTTCAAAATCGAGTCCCTAAACAGCTTTCCTCAACTTCTGGAGAGTTAATGATGATCTAGTAGCTGGATACTTGTAGCGATTCTATGGGGGCCTCCTTCTGAACTAGGTTGGTGGCGTGGGTTAATCCAATTCAGGAGGCACACACACATGAGCCGAAACTTCCTATTTGCGAAACCCGAAAATTTTTTCATCAAACAATGAAAATAGAAAATTCGTCGCGCAAATCACTATCGACGTATATCGTAAACACTCTCGAGCGGAGTTCTAGCTAGACTGGTTGTGCCGAGTTTTTCGTTGGTCCTGCTTTGCTTGGCGAGGTTTTTTAGACCTCGATCAAAAAACGATAATGGTTATCACTCATTTCGAGCTGTTTAGGATACCAGAAAAACGTGTTCATTTTGAATGAAATGAAACGGTATTGCATCTCGGAAGGAAATTCCTTCACCTGAACGAAAATAGTAGTTCCCTAAATGATTAATCAATTTATTCAAGTGAAAACTTAACACCAGCATACTTGTCAAACGTTTAAAGATTGCATAACATTGAAATGTAATTTAAAATTAATTTTTCTCAACGTATTTTTTGCTACAACTGCTATCTGCTATTGTATCCCAGTGTTTTTATAGAGCCGCAAAAAATTGTGTTCTTGCTGTATTCACAGTTCGGAACGAAGTGTTATTGCAAACTGGTGGAAATTCCCTATTTTGATGAAAATACGTTGAAAATATTTCAAGCTTTGAAATTATGTTTTGACTTTATGCGACTCCCAAACGTACTGCAAACTTGATCAGTACGCTGGATTCATCTTTCAACCAGCTTTCCAATGAGGGGTCGCAAGCCATATAGGGTTGCATTCGAAAAAAACATGTCGGGTAGATTCCTGCTACCCCTGAAGGGTTATATTCTCTATATTGCTCGCCAAATATAGGTAAATACATTTAAACGTTGTATTTGAAGTGAATTCATTTCACTTAAAGTCTCCACCCTGTCTTTCATCACTAGCCTGGAAAAATCATTTCTGAACGTCTAATGAACCATATTTTTTATTACACTTCGTTGAAAATAAATATATATATCTGTTATAAATCGAAAGAGAGCACCGAAAGTAACCAAAAAATCTGTTTTGATTCTCAGGGGTTCCAGTTCGATACCATTTGATGACAGAAGTTCGAATATGGGTTCGGTTTCAAACCACAAAATAATATGGGTTCAGTTACGGTTTTCCGATCATAACGGTTCCGGGTCCCTGCACAAACCATGCAACAATCAGACATGAAACTATACGTCGTTATATTAGAATTCGTCCCCGATGAAATGAAAATAACAAATTTCTAACCCATTACATAAGGTGGGCTCTTCGAAGGCGCAAATTCATTATTGCTTGGGATATACCCATCAGATTTTCAGCTATTCAGTGAGTTGACCACGAATGACATTCTGGAAACGGCAGCCATTTTTTAGGTTTTTTGACGCCACTCTTTTTTATATGCAGCACATTTATTAGACCATTAACAAATGAATATAGAGAATAGAATAATAAAAACCATTCTAAGCAGTTGATTATGTTCAAAAGTAGTAAATTTTCCACAATGTCTTCTCCTCAACCGTGCTATCAAATTTTGTATTTTGGTTTGTCTTTGATGCGTTTATTTTTTTCCTCCCCACAAACATTTTTTATCAGGCTGACGATGGACGACACATGTCTCGTTAGTAACTATTCTGTTTACTTATAATATATTTTGGAGACGATATTGTTGAAAATTTACTTCGATCCCAACACTTCACTTTGATACAAACATGGACTTCTACTTGAGGTTGATTACGTTTGTTTTTTTACAGATTCAATATCAACAATCCTCATTGTTTCAACGTTGGATCTATCTGTAAGGAGAATGACATTCATCATAATGATCACATAATCCAGTTTTGGAAAGAGTCCAGTTTAATCGAATTCTTCTTGTTCCTAATGGAGAAACCATCTGAATGCGATTCACAACCAGAAATGTTTTCCCAACCAGAGGAACATATCAAAGATGAAGAAGCATCTGAATGCGAAGAAAATTTCTCCTCCAAAGAGTATTTGTCAAATTTCGTAGGGGTACATACTGATGAAAAACCATTCAAACATGAAATTTTCGATGAAGAAATCGTAACGAAGAAAATCTTGACCGAAGACATCGCTGAAAAACCTTTTGAATGTGAAATTTGTGAAAAGAAATTCTCGACCATAAGAAAGTTGACCGATCACAGTATCTCACACACCGGGGAAAAGCCTTTTGAATGTCAAATTTGCCACAAGAAGTATAGAGCAAAACGATACTTGAAAGAACACGAAAAATGGCACACTGGTGCAGACATATTCGAGTGTGAAGTTTGCACAAAAAAATTCTTAACGAAGAGATACTTGACCGAGCATACTTTTCTGCACACCGGTGAAAAGCCCTTCAACTGTGAAATTTGCTGTAAGACTTTTTCCGCGAAACGAACCTTGAATGACCACAAAAAGTTGCACACTGGTGAAAAACGTATCAACTGTGAAATTTGCAATGAAAATTTCACTACGAAACGGTCCCTGAACGAACACAAAAAGTCGCATACAGGTGAAAAACCTTTCGAGTGTGAAATCTGCAAAAGGAAATTCGTAACTCAGACATACTTGACCAAGCACAGTATCATGCATACCAATGAAAAACCTTTTGAGTGTGAAATTTGCAATGAGAAATTCACCACGAAACAGACCTTGAACGGTCACAAAAAGTTGCACGTAAGTGAAAAACCTGAAAAACCTTTCGAGTATGAAATGTGCGGGGAAAATTATTTCGAATGTCAAATTTGTCATAAGAAGTATGGAGCAAAACGAAACTTGAAGGAACACCAAAAGTGGCACACTAGTGCTGTTATATTCCAGTGTAAAATTTGCGGAAAGAAAATGTTAACGAAGAGATACTTAACCGAGCACCTTGTTTTACACACCGGTGAAAAACCCTTTGAATGTGAAATGTGTCATAAAAAGTATTCTTCGAAGCGGACTTTGGACGAGCACAGAAAGTTGCACACCAATGGAAATTCTTTCGAGTGTGAAATCTGCAAAAAAATATTCCCAGCTAAGAGATACTTGAACAAGCACAAAATTGTGCACACTGATAAAAAACCTTTTGAATGTGAAATTTGTCACAAAAAATTTACGTTGAAATGGAATTTGAGAAAGCACAAGAACTCACACACTGGTAAGAAAAAGAAAATCATTCACAAAGATTCGCACACCGGCGAAAAACCTTCAGAATGTGATACTTCCTATGATAAGTGTTCTAGTGAAGTGGTTTCGGCTATGCAAAATGCACCACACAAAGTGAAATATGAAATCGACAGTGTTGTTGTCAAACAGGAAATCAAGATCGAATATGAATACAATGATGCACAAGTAGACTATCCAGAACTCGTAGAAATAAAACAAGAATATTATTGAAAGGTGCGGAAATCTATCAACGTCCCCAAATTTTGTTGGATAGCATTGTGGTTCAATAAGGACACTGGCAAAAATCCATCCCACATATGATCAATGATAGTGTTCTAAAGAAACTACCTCCAGCCATATTTCCATATTCTCGTAGTCTTCGACAGATGTGGAAATGAGCAACAAAAGGTTTACAGGCGTTTAAAGGACCTTCAACCATCATAAATATTCTCAAACTTAATCTCTGGTAGAAGTCCAACATTTTTCAAAGTGGTGTCTAGTTGTAATAACTAAATAAAACTCAAAATCATCTCCACGACAGTTTACTATGTGAACAATGTCACATCAGGAACATGTTTTCGGACATATACATACATTAGTCCTACAAGAGACAAAAATGAGTTAAAAGTGAAATTCTTACCGTACAATCGCTTACATGAAGGTGAAAAAATTATCTGCAATTACATTAAAATTGAAGGAACTTGTTATACATATCATTATTGGAACATTATTAAAAGGTAATATTTCTAGATTTGAAGGGGAAAAAATTTATAAAACCCCTGCATTAATTTGTGATGGGTCAAACACGAGCCGGTCCCATAGCACCTGGATAATAATGCAAAAAAATTAAGAAAATATTATTATTGACTGCCATATTGACTACTTGAGTAGCGATCAGCAACAGCAAGTAGTGGAGGACGAAAATCCCATGACTTGTACAGAACTAGAGTCTCGAGATCATACCCGTGTGTTCACCGAACACGCCCGATCGTTCCCTAAGCGGTGGGGAAACGTAAACGGGCAGCAGTAAAACAGTTCAGTGGTAAAACTACGTTATGAATATTGGCGCGTGCCTGAATTATTTCGGAGTCAAATTTGTCAATTTAATGTACTTCGAAACGGAACACTAGTAGTTGTGCCTTCTTGTTTTACATATATTATAGGTAGACATCAAATCAATAAACATAGTGCTCTCGCCATCGGTATTTGCTGAACTTCGCTATGGGAAAAATGTTGAATAACTATATTGGGGTGAAGAATGATCTATACAGGGTGTATCTAAATAACACCGAAATAATTCAAGGGATGATTTCTTGTGATATAATATGATGAATAAAGGTCATATAAACATGTGTCCTACACTTGCTTCGTTTTCGAGGTACAGGGTTACGTCCTGATTTCGAATCCGAAGTGATTTTCAACCTATCTTGCCTCCTAATATCATTTTTCGGAAATGTTGGTGGGTCCATGACCAGAGCAGTGTTTTTCACTGAAGATTACCTCACTCTGGTCATAGTTGGTATATATATATATCTATCGCTCCTCAAAATTGAACAGTTACGTTAGATATACGGGTTGATATTCCATTATAGAAGTGACATGCACACTGTTTATATTTTTAAATACATCCAGTGGGATTTATTTTATGTTGAATATTAGAGTGTGTTTTTTTATGTGATATATTTGTTTTGTTTATTTCAAATATATATATATATTTTTAATAGGCATATACTATATATATAATTCTGAAATCTGATCCACCCCGTATTTGTTTCAATTAAATGGCATCAGTAGATAGTAAATAGAATGTTAGGATAGGGACACATGTAAGCCATTTTGACAAATCAATATAGGTATTGTATAGTTTCGATACAAAAAAAATCTCGATTTTTCACATTCTACGTATAGGTATACTTTGAGCTTGATCAACGAAATCATAGCTCAATTAGAAGAATCAAAAAATGTAATAAAATATAAGGTGTTCCATTTTGAATAACAAAGCTGCTACACTACTAAGTACTACATAACTACATAACTACTAATAATTATTTCTAGTGAAGCAGATGAACATTATATATCGAAAATAATTTGAATAAAACGAGCGTCCTCGCCAACAAAACATAAGCATATAATATGTATACATATAGTTTCATGATTTTCGATATATGAGTGGTTCGCTATTTACATGTAGGACTCGTCGTGACATAGCGAATTATTGCAAATCAAATCATCGCTTTCATTATCTGATAGGTCGCAGTAGATCACTTGATGCCTATCAAATGTTTCTTATTTATTCGAAAAAAAAAAAAATGTTGAAGTGTGATCAAGAAAACTGTTGGTGGCCCACCCCGTACTACAAAAACAAAGACAGCATGAGAGAAGCTGCCTGCCTACTTATTGTATCATGACTGCCTGCTTACGTTACGTCTCGGTCTCCCCACCGCTTAGGTAACGATCGACCGTGTTCGGTGAACACACGGGTATGATCTCGAGACTCTTGTCTTAACAGATACTGGCAGGACCGCGATTCTTGAAAATCGGGGAGCAGAACAATCGAGAGAAAGTGGGCGTGTCCACTGTCCGAAACTGAAAACCGTATTCTTGAACTGAATAACACAAGAGGAGCACTCCCTAGGGAGTTACTAATGCATCTATCAAGATTTTTAAGAGAACCAAACCGGGAACGCTTCTGATTGGCTCCCTGCTATTAAATTGAATAAAAATATAACAACTCTCTCATCAGTCTCATCAGTGATCAGAGGTTAGCTTTTTTATTTCGTGGGATTTCGATTGTGGATTTAAAAAGATTTAAAAAACATATGAATGAAGATATTCTGGATGTTGAACTATAGAAAATGACGTTGTTGTGGTTATACTTTCCAAACAAAACCCTTTTGAGTTGTCTGATCAGAAATTTTTGTAAATGCATGTTTCGGCTATCAAAATGTTAAACGAAGCAACTGATTAACATTGTGAATCCTCATATGGAGGCACCCACAAGAGCCTCTGCTCTCACTGTAGCGTCTAAGGTATGTCACATCAACTACCTATATCTTCAGCTGACGATCAAGTGATTTTCACCTCATGACCAATCTGAAAATGATTCTCGAATGATGAATAATAACTTGGAAAAATTATATTCATTCAACGTTCTCCTTCACCCTTCACCTTGCCTGTAGAATGTCAAAATGTCAGAAAATAATCGTATTTGATTGGTCGTCACCTTTGGTAACACGTGGCAACACCGTCTATCGGGGAGCTATGATTTTGCTCCCTCCCTCTTGCTCAAGAATACGAACTTCTTGGTTCGATATGGAGGAGTAGAAACAAATCGGGGAGCGCTCCCCAGGGAACATTCTACTCTATCACCGTCAAGAATCGCGGCCCAGGTATGTTGATAGATGTCAATGTAGCACAGAAAACTGACAAGAGACCGACAATGACATTCAGGGATACCAACCCACAACCACAGATACAGAATGCACAGCCAATCAAGGATGAAGAATAGCAAGGCTATTCAACTCTATAAGGTTGCCTCATATTGACCTGGCCTGACGTCACTGTTTCCCCATCGTCTTTTGTCCATGAACGGCAAAATGAAAATGGCGGAGGTGAAAATCAAAACAAACAAATTTAGCATTGTGCAATCAAGTGAATATTGATAAATTTTGAAGTTTTCCAATATGTTTTTGTGTCCAAGAGATTGTTCACTGTTTTCCCAAAACATGCAGCAAGTACAAAAGACTGAAATCTAGAAAGATATGTTCCTCAGTGCTCCTGTTGTACAGACACATTACAGAAACTCAGTCAAATTCTTATTGCAATATCACTCCATTAGGACTGATTACTGTTGGCATTAATAAGGATATGGAAGTTGACCTACTGATGAAGCATTTTTTAATAAAAATGTTATTGGGAAGTCTGAACCTAATGATGAAATCATGGTGGATAAGGGCATGCTGACAAGGGATGTGAAGAAATATCTTGAAATTGATTAGGCCATCATTTCTGAGAAACAAGAAACAATTAACTAAAGAGGATTTCCTTCTGGATAAATTGAATGATTCTAACTCACTGGTTTTATTTCAGTATCAATTTGGAACATATTATTGTTTGAAAATGCAATAATAAGAAAATGAATTAATAAAGAAGTCATCACAATTCATTCCATTTTATTAATGCAATAAAAGTGCAACATAATGGAAATATCTTTGAGATATCTTCCTCATAACATTAACACAAAATGTATCACAAAAAAACTGGAATCTTTATGTAAGTTTTGGAGGAAGAAGAATCATACAAGAAAATTAGTTTCTTTCAAGTTCATTAGGGACATTTTAGGGCCATTATTCCCAACTGAATTTATCCATAATAAGTGTGTCTCTCTTCCAACTTCACATTTTTTATACCATCTCCTATCAAGAAATGGCATTGTTCCACAAAATGTTCTGAACCTTTACCTAAAACTTTGAGAAAATAATTCAAGCTGAATGTAATACACATTATTTAACAAACCTCTATGTAAGGACCTCAGTAAGGACACTTATTTCAATTATTTCCATGGTCTTCCTTCCTGAAAAATAATTTCATATTGAGAAAATCCTAACCATGGAAAATATTGAGACACAAATTTGTTTGCATGATTTGAAATTCAATATCATTTTCAATGAACATTTTGAAAGAGCTTTGGATTCATATTCAACTCCATGCTGAACAAATTTATTTGAAAAATCCTTTGGAAAGAAGAAGTTGATTGCCTTTTTTCCCAAGACTCCTTTCTACATGTAAAAATGAAGTAGCAAGTATAAGTAAAATTTAATAAACTCACCAGTGTTCCTGAGTACAATGCAATAGCTAGTTGTTTACATTGAGTTCATTGGCTTCCAAACAAAAAACAAAATAGACTGATATACCCTGTAAAATTAACTTCAATTATATAAAGGAAGAATGATTTTAGGGGGTCACTTTCCTTCTTTTAATAAGCAGGTAGCAGAACTATTGAAATGGTTTGGCTGTATAAATAGATCATTGATTGATCTACTCTCTTTTTTCAATTTTCACCACTTCTGTTTGTTATATATGCAGCTTCACATATTCCAAGTCTTCATTCCTGAAATTTCATGTATTTTTTACCTGTGTGTGTGATAGATCAAAAGTGCACCTTCCTACCTGTCAATATAAGTTCCTATAAAATGTGTATACAAAACCATGACATGCCTGCTTCACAGGGA